ACGGGAAAACAGTAGGAATTGACAATATACCAGCCGAATCTTTGAATTCAGACTTAAATGTAACTACAATCATGTCCCACATTCAGGAGGATTCGGGAGGAATAATAAGTACCACCGACAAAGTGGAAAATAGGACACCTCATCAAGATACCAAAGAAAGGAGATCTGAACAACTGATCGGACTACGGAGGAGCGACACTACTATTGGCACCATGAAACTTTTACAACAGCGTTGCTGGATCAGGTAAATGACTCAGTAGACGCCGAACTTCGAGACCAGCAGGTTAGATTCTGTAAGGATCAGTTGTGCATAGACGAATTTATGACACTACATACCATCGTTGAACACTCAAATGAGTGGAACTTAACACTATACACCAACTTTGTTGACTATAAGAAGGCATTTGACAGTGTAGATGGGAGAACCTCATGGAACCTTTTTCGATACTATTTAGTGGGTAGCTGAGATAATTGTCAATGTCATACGGAATTCATACGACGGACTACACTGCAAAGTCCTGCATTGGAGACAGCTGACAGACTTTTTACAAGTGAGAACCAGTGGCCGACAAGATTACTTACCCTCTCTGTTATATCCTAGCGAAGATTAAATTACGAGTAACTTCTGAGACCTTTTATTAGACTAATATTATCTATACATTCTTATGGTATAACTATTCAGTAATTATATTATGCATATTTACATTCCTCTTATTATGAGCTTCATTTTGACCGATAATTTATTATTATACGATTTGCTGTTATTAAATTATACTCAGTTTATTAATTACTTTCTTCCATGTTCACAGACACATTTTGGCTTTATTGAGTATAAATGTTATTTCTTATTTTATGGTGCTTTGCGTTCTGTTTGGCTGATATACAAACCAAATATATCTAAAATAAACGATTCGCATAGTAGATGCTGTTGTTGGCATTCTGGACTCAGCTGGACGGGCTAGGCGAGCAACGGACCAATATAACGCGAAGCTGATCAGACCGAACGAACGTCATTGGTTTAGTACAGTACAAGGGCGAATAAGTCGCATTTTGATTGCCGAAAAAATTACGTGATAACTAGCGGGCCATAAAGACACAAAACTCTCACTTTCCCTTTCTTCTGGGGGTCGACTGGGTTATCAAGACCTCCACATATTGAGGGTAAGCACAGAATACAATGGACAACTTGTATTCAGCTTTCCGGTTCGAACCTAACCGTTCAGTACCGTGAACAGCAACAAATGCTGGACACAATCAACGTATCGGCATCCTCTATAGCAGTAGGTCTCAACATAAACATGGAAAAAAGCAAGGTCCTCAGTTCAGTCATACTTGACGGAAAATCTCTGGAAAAGGTGGAAAGCTTCAAGTACCTGTACAGCATGATTGATAAACAAGGAGGATCGGGCATGGATATGCAAAGTAAGGTGAGCATCCCTACAAATGAAGAAGATTTGGGACTTAAAACAACTGTCACCCAACATCAAAGTCAAAATTTGCAATACAAACGTGAAGGCAATTCTGTTTTACGGAACTGAAACTTGGATAACTGCCATAACAATCATCAAAAGTTACAAGAACTTACAAACAGTTGACTACCTTAAATACATTATTGGCAGATGATAGGTCAATAGGCTCAGGCGATATGGACTGTATATTTGTCGATTATCTTTAGGCAACAATTATGAGAAGAAATTTCGTAAAATGTCATAATTTTGCAATGTAATCCGAGAACGAGATCGTTAGGTATGGAACTAACTCACCAGCAAATTTCAGAGTTCTCGTAGCCTTAGATATGCACACTGATAAACAACCAAATTGACGAATATAATTCACCATGGTGAAACGAATTATTCAAATAAATTCTGGCTTAGTGAGAGAAAAGTTATATACATTGAGGTATGGGAACTCACAAATGTTCTCTGCCAGTAACTCAGCAACCTGAAGAATTCCAACTGAATGCCAAAAGAGATGAAAAAAGGGCCACAGCTTTTCTAATTTCTCGAGAAAAGATTTGGAACGAACACATGACTGTGTAGACAAGTAGCGCTGTTGTTCATAGTTCTAAAAGTGTTGAAATGTCAAGTGATTGAGTAAATGGGAGGGCTTACTGAATGAACTCTTTCACGAGGCGCAAAATAATTTGAAAGGAGGGAGGTCTAGTGTCATAAATACTGTTAACACAAGAAGCTCGGACAGATTCTGGGAATCAAATGGTGCTTGAGCATACAGTATTTGTAAATTCGGTAACATAACTGGCACTGTGTCACAATTAGTCCTTCTAGCAAAAATATCCCAAACACAACCTTTTCTTGATCTGAATCTCCTAACTATGGGAAACCTTAAGATCAGTATGGTGATTAGGAGTATTTGAATTATAGTACGAACTAAGAATCCCTGAAATAACGCAATTGGATCAAGAAGTACTAGATAAGCACTTACGAATGTACTGTATTCGAAATCAAGCATTCGACAAATGCAAAGGGGTCATTAGTTCATTCAAACACCACAACGGTCCATGAAAAAAATATAGTTTCTGGGCTGTTGGGGAATAAGATATTTAATAGGGTCATATAACACTTGAAAACACTGGATATAACAAAATCTGCAAAAAGAGGTATCGGTAATCCATTGTCATTAATCATCGTAGCCAGTGAGGTTTGGCATAGTTGGTACGGATCTTATTTCAAGGGTTAATGATAAGTTGAAAATTCCCGTTTCTAGCAACAGGATAGCAGGGAAGCTATAGACGGCACAGGACAACGAATCTTAGAATAATGTGTACAACATGGATCGCTCAACTCAAACACGAAGACCGAGTCTCCAACTAAGCATTCAGGATCACACATTTATCTAAACTCCTATTCCCAGTAAAATTACTAATCATAGAAGAAACAGGAGAACGAGACCAAAAACTGCCCGAGGTGCTGATTACTGGTGGGAAACAAAGCTAAAATGGTAGTTGTGACTCTTGTCTGTCGCTCGATAAAACGGGCAATTCAACATTTGATTGATTTCTTCTGTGTCTGGGTCAACTGTCGTTGTAATACTACAGTTCCTAGTGAGTACTACGAGTACGTGTTAAGTCACCCCTGTCCGTGGTTCTCGTACACTCACCAGAGTGTAGAAAAAATATGCAGACGGAAATAACAAAAGAATCAATTGAAAACAACCACACCAATCCCCATTATTATATCTAGTTTGCCCAACACAAGCATAAGCCACAACCCGAACCCAGACTACCGTCTATTGCTAACACATCAATATCCGTTAGCAGTTAGTGAATGTTGAGAAAGTCAGTGGCAGAAGCACAGCTCCGAGACGCTAAAAATCGGGAACAAAGACGGAGAAAACCCCCTGATTTTAATTAATGTTCCAGTGTCGGCAAGTAGCATACTAAAACGTCAGCCTCTGATAAAGAGCAGTTGGGCAAATACTTAACCACACTGTGGAAGGGTACAAATCCAGCCAAACTATGCCGCCCGTGTATAGACCATAATTCAGTGAAAAGCAGTATCCCCTCTAAAGATGATTTCAGATTCAGTAGACGTTACAGAAGAAATCTTATGGACATCCAAAAGACCATCGGTCAAACGGTCTTCTCAAGTCCGAGTTAGACACAGCGAACCATGAGCTGTAATAGATTCAGATTGAAGATCAGGAAAACCCATGAAGCAACCAGTATGGTGGTTAAAAGAGTGGCTTAGTTCGTGTGTGGTTGTTGGGACGAAGCTTACGAACACGATATGCAACAGTGGCGTTGGTTATCACTTGGCAAGGATCTCCACACCACCACGATAATTACTATATCCGGGCTACCTCATCCGTGACGCCTGACGACAATTAAGTCTCTATATCTGATAGCTATGAACCACAGAAACCGAGAAGACTTAACTAATGGACTTCAGACCTGGCACAACTCCAAGAATGACTTCTTATGTCAAGTCACATGTATGAACTGACCTACATCGCCAATACAATAACAGAAAAGGCAAGTCGATAATACCTTGGCATCGGTTGACTTCACTCGGAAACCCATGATACAGGGGGTAGGTACCAAAGTCCCACTTATGGGACACATTGTAAAAGCAAAAGACCTACGACGGTTAGTTCCCACAAAACTGGTTAACCTGAATTCCACAACAACTTGTTTAAAAACTCGAATAAAGGCGCTGCTGTAGTGGATCACGAGGTGACGAGACAGGCTATCTGGTACCTACATAAAAACGTAGGGGGACAAACAGTATATTAAGAGAGATCACAAGTATATCTTCAGTTGGATTTGAAGATCACAGTCCTAACTGATACATAACTATCTCTTAACATCACGAACGATGAAATGAGCTTTCAAGGGATAACCATTCCTCCCTTTGACCGGCTGTGCCTGATGCACTTTTCGCGATTTACCTACTGTCATTATTATCACATATCAGTAAATACCGCCTATCTCGCTAAATAACGTCTCAATCTTTCCTCTTCATTCTTGCACTTCATCCTCTTTACACTGCCTGGATTAATAACTAATCAGCTTATATATTTATTTAGTTAGTATGTTCAGGGAGTCTTCTTTTAAAAAAATTAAAGCAATTAGCCCCTTTGATAAATTTCGATAATGTAATACATTATCGATATTTAGTAAGTTCCAACAACAACTGTCTCCTCTTATCATCCGAATTTCCGCTTTGTTATCTTTCATATGGTAATCAACCAACCTCCTACCTGGTAATGCGACAGCTACCAGAGTCTGGAAACACTAGTGACCTGAGAAAAACGCAGTCAGTCAAACCGCAAGATATACAAATCCATAAATAACTTCCAAAGGGATGAGAATTAGTGCAGTCGAATGATTAGACTTTCACTCACTGGTCACTACCAGATACCTGAACCGTACTGAAACAATAAGAAGCGACAGCAGAGAAGTCCATTGTTTATACTAGCTTATGACAAACGTATTGGATATTAGAATTTGCTGCGAAGATCGATTGAATTGAGCGGGGTTTACCAAAGTGACGGTGCTGAACCGTACTGATCAGTCTCAATCATGCTTCACTTGGATCCTACCCTTTTTGAAGATGTTCCACCCTCTTCTAATGCTTCAACAGAATACGAGACAGTGGATGATGAAGTTCAGATTGTTAGTCGCATTATAGTACATGACCTATATTCTTTTAGGACTTGGGAAATTATATTTCGAACTACCAGGGATACATATACTACCAGCGCCTCTTTTTTATTGCTCAGCGGTGCCCTTCTTTGCGTGTTGTAGCACTGCGCCTTGCACATGATTACATCAAAAAGTCTACATTGGACACCTCCGCATACAACAAAATATTTTTAATGTTAGCCGAGCAGGTAGGTAGTTTAACATTCCTCTTGATTTTTGTCCTTTTAAATGCAAATATGTCAAGATAGGCGCTTTTTGACACTAAAAGTGTCGTCAAGCTATGACAGCGTTAATTTGGTGGCTTAACTGAACGTCAAAACATATAGTTTATCGCTCATCAATTTCTGCTATTAGGCAGCATAAAAATCTGATTGTTTCAGAACAACAACTTATCAGCAGTTCTTGTGTATAGTTTTCGTTACTTAGATACGGGGATTTTGTCTCAAATACGTCCTAGTTTGTTATTTTAAAATTACGCCTTTTTAATCTAGAAAATTCATTTTGACTAGTATGTTCAACCCAGTGTTTCTTATTAGTTCAGGTGGTGCTTTGCATGTAAAGTTGTATGATATACTTCGGTGCTCTGTATTAAAACGTCAGGAAAATGGTCTTCTCACCGTCTTAAACAACAATAGAATCTATTGCTTCAGGATTAGTCTGAGTCAACCCCTAAATTAAGTAGTTGAGCGTGTTGATCACTTCAGTTGGAAGTTTCGTCGGCCATGGTGGCTTGGTTTCTGACGAGGTATGTGTGCAAATTCAGAAATCCCGTTTTAGTTTTGCCAACATGCGTCACTTGTAGCCTAGACAAGAAGTCCTTTTGTCAACCTAAAGACTAGTTTGCCGTGCAGTTCTCCTAGTTCCACTCTATGGCCATGAAACTTGGTCTTTAAATTTAGGAAATATTCGTAAGTCGCTAGTTTTCGATCATATGTGTCTTCGAAGTCTGGTTCATGTATTCAGATTACTACTTAATTATAGCGAAATTGAGGTATTGAACGTTCGACTTAGATGACTAGAACATGTATTATGTATACTCATATATCAGCTCACTTGATGTTCGGTGGTGACGTGTAGAATTAGGTTGAGAGGAAGCTGGGGGCTAGGAAACGAATATAAAGCTCCAGTCCATGAAGACATGGACCATTGAATTGAACCTTATAAGTAGGTTCAGACCACTCGATTGAGGTCCGCGTGATTATCATAACCAATGGTTAAAGACTTTGAACGACATGGTTCAAAATCAATTGCAGTGACTCAAGTTTTTAAATTCCGAAATGTTTTTATTTCATCAATTTATATCACCATGAATCGTATCTTCAATGTCTAATCTCTTCTATTACCACTAATGCTGTGACTACCTTGAATACTCCGGGATTTTCCCCAATAATTTCATCTCTCTTTGCTAATGTGGTACGGCAATCCAAACTAGTGTACCCATATGCTAAGTCCTACGTTGCGTATAACTGACTGACTAGTGCTCTATTTTGTTTACGTGCTAGCTTTATTACCATCTTGTTTGTGTTCGATCTTTATATTTTCATTCGCAACTTAATCATACAGACATATAAACTTTCCGCTGACTAAATAATGGTACAGAAAAATCAGCTTGACGTGCTAGGATGCTCTATCAATAGTCACTTTGGGACAACAATGTAAAAGTTTCATCATGAATTTGCAATTGCACATATTTGGTGTTAATCGGTGCTGATACCGTAGCATGCTCTTAGTAGTGTCACGTCATAAAACTAAACTAACTATAGATTGTTCAACAGCTGAAAACAATAATGAATTTTAGTGAGTGATAAGAATTGAGGTAAAATCAGTCCAGTTATTCCCGGCTAACTCAGTTCTGCAAACAAGAAGTATTAGAAAAACTGCAGTTTTGCGGTCACTATTAACTTTAGTAGTCCCCTGTTATATTAAACGACTGAAAATTTATGCTGTGCAAAGAGAACATTTGCATTAGACCTATACAGCTTCCAGCCACCTATAAGCTATGCAATACAATCTACTAATTTTTAAATTATCTGTAAGGAACGTAATTAACTCTACCAAACTGAGTCGGGTAACGATAGTGAGCTTGTTAAACGACAAACTACTGAAACCAAGCACCAGCAAAGATTCAAGAAATCAAACTGTTGACACCAGTTACTGACTAGTATTTTTCACCGGGTTTGTTGCTAAGTAACTTTTCTCCTACCAAGAATCTTATGTTTTAAATAAGAGTGAATTCCTTGTTTGTTTTTGAGGAAAGAAATAAGCTTACGTATAACAGGTGGTGTGTGGCTGGTAGTGGGACTTAGGATGCGGATTTCTTCTCATTTGGGACTCATCAGCTTGATTCACCTGAACTAATAAATTACTATTAACATGATCAAAACAAAAGTATCTTATGGTAATTTCATCTAACTACTAAATAACAAATTTTCGTACAAGTCGACTATAAAACTGGTGACTTCGAATTACGATTTATGGTATGTAAACCTAATATTCAAGCCGATTGGGCTCGTATTAAATGTCCATGCCATTTTTTTATATCTAATTCACATTAGTTGCATGTAAATAGAATCTGAGATACTGATCAACCTTTTGCAGTCACAAGGCTCAGTTTTTCGACTGTTTTCTCTTAACATACTGAAACCAACTTTTTAAAAATATTTATTTCGGCAAATTCTGTTTTATAACTAATGGCTTGTCATTCGATATTCGTATTTACCAAAATATTTTTGCTTTATTAGTTGACTAAGCTGATTATGTTATTTTGTTCCTCAGACAAACTTTTCTGTAGCTGACTCATCAGCATCCGGTGAGACTTCTAGGCAACAACAGCAGTCGGCTTTCTCGATGCGCCTTATCACAAACAATCACCTTTCAGATGGCTTGTCTTTATCTAATCCAAGTGAATTAGGAGTGCTGGGTTCCTCTCTTACGGAAGCTTCCAGAAATATTTTAACTGAGGTCATGTCCGGAAAAGTAAGTTACCGATGCATAGGTATTGTTTAAAATAGTTTATTTGATTATGATTTTGTCGTACTTTAAATATAGAATCCCAAACTTCATAGCAATACATGTCTTTAGTATTGCGATTGAGTTTCAACAAATTAACTTCCTCGACAAATAGTTCTCCTAGATAAAATATATACTGGTCGTCATTGTTCTCTTTTTTATTCTTTCTTATACGCACCTTACATTCTTTTTCTCTTCCCATTATTGTTATTGGGTGGCGCATATATATCTGGTGCCCCCCCTGTACCAATATTTATGTGTTCAAATAAAATAATTGAAATTATCCATATAATTTATGATCCCATCAATAGAAACCTATGTGTTGATATGATTCATCATCAATGGTGGTATTATTTTATGTAAACTATGGATTTTGGATAATATATAAATAGATTACAACTTATTATAATAACACAGGCAGTGTTGTTTTTCGTTTATTCTCTTTAGAAGTACAACCATTGAAGCTATTTAAGAGATTGGCGCAGTTTTTGTATTTTGGACTTCGTTAAATATAAAGTCTTACAATCATTCTGGTGTATGTGACGAAATCAAGACGTGCGTTTAAGAGCCTGTATTTCTGCATTATACATACTGACATCTTTTCAGTATCCGTATAAAACTAAAGTAGCTAGATACGCTTCAACCAAGTATTTATTAATTATAAGGTCATCTTAACAAATCACTGTCTATTTATTGCTTTCTAAAAAATGTGTATACATAATTACAGAACGAAGCCAATTTGGTTTACGACGCGAAATGGGAAGAGTCTACAAGGCGGAAAGGTGTTATGCTTTTGGAACAGTTAGATACAGAATTAAAAAATCACAAGGCAAATTCAATTAAAGAAAGCATACGGTATTTTAAAAGTGATAATTTCGTTTTTATTGTCATTAAAAACAATTTTTTCAACTCAACCAATAAGGTTATGAGTTTTCATTGACCGAATTGGTTAGGGTATCTATTACTTATTTATGCACTATTACCTTCCACTTTAACTCCTATTTTGGGCTGACATAGAAGTATATCGAAGAAAAGCTAGGGGCAACGGAACCAAGATGCAGCATCAATTCATGAGGGCGTTGGCTACTGAACTCAGCCATGTAGGTAGCTGAAGACTTCTTGGTTGGGTTATGCGCGATCATAGTGATCAACAGTTAAAGACGTTGAGTGACATCGTTCAGGATCAGTCACAATGATCCAGATCCATCCACCCTTTATCTTTCATTGTATTTTGAATTTTAAAACTGTCGTACACTATCTGTTTTCCAGGAATTCATTTTTCTCAAATCATATTGTCTGTGTTCATTGTTTTCTAGTACCATTTTTATTGTCACTACTCTGGCATTTGTCTTAATTCCATCTTGCCGTACTGATATGGTATAATAAGTAGGGGCATTGCACATATTTGTGCCAGGCTCTACATTTCATATGACAGACTAACCAGGTGTTTCAGTTGATGTGGTTCAAAGTCAGCCATGCGATCGTTAATGTACCTACTTTCATTTAACAAACCATCTTGATGATACTAATAACAATAATCCATCTACGGCTTCATTTTATATATTTTTTATCTATTATCACTTTATGAAGTGTTGATTCTCTTGGTCTTAAATTATTATTTTACTTGTTATTAAAATGAATAAAACAAATCAACATACATATAATTGTATCACACATCTCATGAGACATGAAATCACTGTCCAGTATCATATAAATTAAATTGAGTTATCCTAGGCGTATATGTCCCTTTTTTGATAAAGCAAATGTCAATTTTGATGTTCCAATTTTTTCATTAATCATCATACATAGGTGTTCTCATAAAACGTTTAAAAAGAACTTAAAAGAATAAATTTATTGTGGACTATGATCTTTCTTATTTATATTTTTACTCAGTTCTGGTTTATCTACACAAGATAACAGGAAGTGATATCGAATAAACTAACGAAATTTCATTAGCACAACATTAAGTTAGTTTTAAATAAATAATATATTTGTAATATCCCAATGAGTAGAAAATTAGACTTTCTGACGTTTCGTGACTTAGTGTAAGTCACTTCTTCAGAGAATAAATAACCAAATCAAAATTAATCCAAGTTTACATAGTACAACGAAACAATAAGAATAATATTTGATCAAAATTAGTTTGTTTCTAACCATTACATAAATGGTCAGCGAAATTTCGGTAAATAATTAGTTATTGTAGTATGTTATGTTTAACATTTTATCGTCAATGTTTTTATCAAAACATTGTTTATAATTATTTAAAAAGAATGATGTATGGAACTAACCGATACATATTATTGAGTTTAAGGTTTTGTATTTGATGGTGAGAGATATTTTCACTAAAAGCTAGTGCCACATCATATGGGTCTTAATGGTTCCATATTGTACTGATGTGGTCTGGTAGTTTAAACAGATTCATTTATGTGCCTCAGGTTCTACGGTGTTTATGATTGACTTACTGTTTTTGAATATTTTCATGTCATTTCACTTGATGTTATCATAATTTTTTTGTTTTAACTTTTCTTACGAAAATAGTCGTGGTTCTGATGATCTTGGTGATTTGTATTTACAGTTAGGACAATTGAGCAATGCGAATAAATGTTTTGCTCGTTCCCGAGATTATTGTACATCTCAACAACAAGAACTGACTATGTGTTTAAATGTTATTAAGGTAAATCAGTGGTTTTTATTACTGTATAGGTATATTTGTGTATGTACGTGTTGTATTCATAATTGAACTTCGGATAATTATAAAGAACCTTATATCTTCACTTTGTAATCTTGTTAGTTTTAATGGAATGTATATGTATCAAAGGTCAGTAGAACCGTTTCTCAGTAGTTTGGTAATGAATCACTAGCTATCGAACTTGACAGTCTTTTTGCACCGTCTACCTTTACTTGATAAATTTTTATTTTATATTATATAGTTTTATACTATTATTGAGCTAAATTCATTTTTTAATGTTTAAAAGTTCTGCTACTTCTGTAAATGGAAAGATTTTGATATATTGTACTTTACGATTTAAGTTTAATTGCTTACTACTTGATTACACTAACCATGTACTTCGTACAAACTATAGAAAAATCCGTTGACTAATTTCAAAATATCCAATAACTTTAATGGACTAGTGGCTAAATCACTTTCATGCTGCTTTTGTGATGGGATAAATGCTGTCCGTAGTTTCAAGAATAACAAATTTCTGCCCTTTAATAACTCGATATGCTTTCTCGCGATTTACATCTGTATAGTCAGTCACAACATGGGACCTGATATGTATAAAATTGTTTCAAGTTGCTCATCAGCACAGATAAATGAAATTGTCAGATCAAATCCCAGAATAGTAGATATAGTAACGGAATAAGTGGTGATTAAAAGAATTATTGATCAAAGATATGATTCAAGAAGATACAAATGAGTGAAATAAGAACACACGAACGGTTACGTGGAATTCAGGAGCCGTTGCAAACAATTTTGAGTCATGTCACTCAAAGTCTGTAACCAGTGGTTACGATAATCACGCGAACACCAATCAGATAGTTTACACCTATTAACATCTTGCTCATCATAATCTAAATACGTTCCACACATATTTATACAGCGTTACTGCGATGTTATTATTACTCTCTTGTCACGATGTTCCCAACAAGTGAGGTAAGTTAGTCGATGATGAAGGATCATAAGGATAATAATTCAAGTGGGTAGGAAATGTATGACACATGCCAAGCCATTGCCTGGTTCACCATATCAGGTTAGCTAAATCACTGGTAGATTTGAGAGTTGTAGAAGGTGAACAAATCATTTACTTGTGGCTTTAATGTTACTTTTCTCTCGATCACTTCTGTAGTTATTATTTGGGTTTAGATTTTTAATGCAGTACACTGATATACTTACAAAACACTTCGTATTTCTGTAAATATACTTTTATCATTCATAACCCAAAACTACCTTATTGAATCAATATGAAATTAGTCAAAATACTGACGAAGTTGTTTCTACGGAATAAGTGTCGTTTAGAATTTGAAAGAAAGGCGTAGGCGATTCGAAACAAATGCAATATTCTGAATTCTTTTGTAAAAAAATATGCGCAATCAGTTAGGAAATAGTTAAAGACCTGTTGTTTATATATGCTTGTCACTAAACGAGGTAGAAACCCTATATCACAACATTTTTAGGAAAATATAATATTTTACTTGTTTACATTTTAAAAACGGTGCAAATTCATTCACTTTTCATCAGTGTTTGTTGGAAGTTAGATCTGAATAAATATATCCAATCTGATTTTCAAAATATTAGGTGGCTATATTTCAACGTGCTTGGTCTCATGTTAGTGCACATGTTACTCGAGCCAGCAGTTTATCTGAACTACGTGATACTGCCCCATTATTAGGTGCAAATGCAGCCGAATTAAATGCTCAACAACGAAGCCGTACTGAAGCCCTAGCTCGTTTGGGTACAACACGTACAACAACTGCCGGCACATCCGGTGAATCTTCCACACGTGGCTCTTCTAGTTTAATAGACCCTTCAAGCCGCATTTCATCTCGACACCCTGGTGATAGTATTGGAGGTCATATTCCTACATCAGGTGGTCAAAGTTATCGTGATGCCTTAGCTCAAGCCCGGACTCAGCTAGCTATTGCTGCTGGACTAGTTGAATTAGCTTCCCGTAACTACAGAGGTGCTGCAATGAATTTCCTTCAAGTAAGTTATTTCGTTTTAATAGTTTACTCCTGTGTGATATAATTCTTAGGTTAGTATTAACTGTAAAATACTACGTTGATACTTCTTTATTAAGCCTACTTATATTTCTTGTGATCTAATGGCTTTGTTTTTTAATTGATTCTCTTCAAAGCTTTATTGTATCAATATGTATACTTACATTCCCACTGTGACTGTATCTTGTTAGGTAAATAGGGGCTTTTTGATTTAGTTGAGATACAATATCAAACATTTCACTTGTACTTGTAAGTTATTGTACAAACTGTAATTATAATTAGAGTCCATTATTCATATTTTATCTCACTTTCGAATATGAACACCAGGTGATTTTCTAGATGTGTCGTTGCTTGTCTATTTTTCCGGGTTAAGAAGATTCTAACTAATTCAGGTACTGCTATCTCGTACAACTACTTATCCTATCCTTTTCTATTAGCTCGACTTTAATATAATAAAGTGTTATAACGGATTGTTCAGACTATTGATGCTGGTCAATAAAGACTAAATCAACAGGCTCAAATATCCTACTAAGAACCAGATATAAGCCGAAACGATCATTTATAAAAACACAATACTAAGCTTTTAATAAGTAACATATGCAATAATATATGATATTCTTCAATATATACTATAGCCGGTTAGTTAGTGACTAGTTACGACTTGTTTTCACCAGAAATGTTATTAAGTTTACTCAGAAAACAAAAGAAAACCTTTAACCCTTTAACTAGTCGTTAATAACGAACAGATAAATGGATCAAATAACATTTTACTTCAGGCAGTGATCTGTTTATCCAATTCGTCCATAGGAATGAAAACCAATGAAATAAGAAAAGAATATATACATAGAGCTTCAAGGTATTTTAAAGCTGCATATATATACCATATTATTATTATATTTGATGGGGGTTATAAACTAATATGGACCATACAAACTACAATAGCTAGTTTTGTATCTATCCTCATAAAATACTAAGAGTCTATTTCGTTTTGATGATCACTGAGTCCATATTCATTACTATCTTCAAGATTCCCCAAATTTGTAACCTCATATTAATAAAAAATTATTTTTATTTTCTTAGCTATACGCATATCGCGAAATACGATTGCCAATTTAGATACGCTAACTTATACGACCAAACTAATGATGCAAGCACCAGTACGGACAGCCTAGAGTTCCGATTGGTCCTTTTCCCCCATAGCCCTGTGTGTTAAGTTCAGAACGCTAATCTCAGCCTTTGCTGTCCGGATCATATATTTCAAACCTAATTGGTATATATACAAACAAATCAAACCACATCACACCATAAAATAGAAAATAACATTTGTACAAGATCAAACCAAAAGTAGCCGTGATTGGGAGAAACTGTGACTAATAGATTGAGAATGACTTGAGAATAGTAAATCATATAACCAATAAGTCAAATAAAAGCTTATAATGCAAGGAATATGTAGATACATATAATATAGTCACTTACTAATCATACAATAAGAATATTCGTATAATATTAGCCCATAAATAATTCCTAACGGTTATCATTCATTTATTCTCGTCCGCATATAACAATTATTTAATACTCTTTTACTTAAATATGTTTCCGGATTTATTGTGATGTAACCCTGTGAAGTAGGATTTGGATTCATGATCACTTAGTTGTAAATGAAATAATGAACACCATGCATTTTTATATAATTCTAGTATGTATAAGACTGGTTGTTACTCTCTTTTCTTCTCTAGCCATATTTCAAAAAGAAGATACCTGAATCATTTTGTAAATGCAATTATACATTAAATAGTATATTTTACCAAAGCCTCTATTATATTAATCCTTCAATTGTTGTCGATGCTAACTGGTTAAAAAGCATTTCACTTTCAACAGTTAAGTTGATTGTTCGAATTTCGTTTGTTACCTACTTCGAAGTTGATCAGTTTGGGTAATATTATTAGATCTGTATCATGCAAACAGATATGTATCGCTCCCAACCTAGTAGTACTGGGAAAAGGTTGTGACAGTAATAATACTTCTATCATAGTTTTTCTTGATTTTGGTCCAAAATATCGATTTCACAAACCTTTCTGACTTTTTACTCATTCATAAACATATTATACCTCTTCTTTATCATTCCAGGTTAATCATGATCATTGTGAATCACCTACTAGTCGGATTGTAACTATATCAGATTTAGCATTTTTCATTACATTATGCAGTTTGGCTACATTTGAACGTACTGAATTAGCAACATTAGTTCTTGGGAATGCATCGCTGAGATTACTTTTGGAAGCAGAACCTGCTTGTCGTGACATGTTACAGTCGTTCCATCAAGCAGATTACGCATCTTGTTTGGGGCGATTAAATAAACTACGAAACATTCTACGGTTAGATATATTTTTGTCTGATCATGTATCTGCATTATGTCGAGAGATTCGATCACGTGCACTTTGTCAGGTTAGTGTTTATTGTATTTGAATAACCTACGTTCGAATTTTATTCACAGATGCAATGAGAGTAACTATCATGCTACAGTGAATGATTTCTAAAATAATGACTCAATATCGGAGCCTCACATCAGTTAATTCGTTATTAAGTGTTGAAGCCCACTGTAATAGAAGTATGCAAAATACCAGTCGCTGATATTAGTTCAATAATTAAACTGCTCGTTATTGAGTATAACAATAGAAGATTCTATGTTCAGATAGGTTATAGTTCTCAATTTCTAACTTTCCTAGAGCAGAGCTGGATGTGTTCGCTCAGTAATACATGAAATATCCAGTATATTAAAATAGGTTAATACGTCACCATTTTTTATGTGAGTTTTGACTGGGAGATTTTTTGCAAGATTTGAGTTGATAATCATTATATAATCTGTAAAAGACAAGATATTAAACTTTCATTCCTTATCAACTACACGTATTTATTAAGATAATTTTTCTATCAAGTACTTCATTTACCTTCGATAGCTCATTACTGTAATCAATTCTTTGCACAAAGTGCACAATATTGTTAGAAAAAAATTCCTCCCTGTTCATTATATGTTTTTAGATATTTGGAAGTATCCATCAAAGCAGGTTTTTTAACAGTAATTATCTACCATTCATCGGTGGTAAAGTTTTTAGCCACTTGATTTGGACCTATAAATGTTTTTATCATCACATGAATTAAACTGTTATCACTTCTTGTTTATCCAAAGCGGAAAAAGGTGAAAAAGTATACAAATCAACTTGAATTTTGCAGTGTTTGTCATTATAATAGACTGTAAGCCTATAAAAGCGCGCTTGTGTACGCATGATATGCTTAATACATTAAAAAAAGTTAAAATAGGGAATTTTATTACAAGATATTTATACAATTGAAAAATAGATGAACAAAAGCTTGGATCGATCAGATTGTCGTCGATATTCCTTAAAAATAATTTCATTTGAATAACCTAGATATGAATATCAGTGATCTTAACCGATTTCTCTCGAATAACTTAGATAACGTATTTCACTTGTTAGTTGTTAGCATAGAAAGAAGAACTCAAATAATTTTTACTTAATCACATAGCATGATAATTAATACTTTTCTTTGTCATTACGTCAGGAAGGTCAAAAGTATTGTCTGTCAGATTCAGATCAAATAGATGTCTACGCCTCCAAATAATTTCAGACCTCAAACTAAAGATATTTAAAGTGATGATGCTTTCTTAAGGTCGTATTTTTCATCGAGAACTTACATCAACTGGGTATATGTCTTTGAAACTAGAGGGCACTAAACATCTGTCTGTTGCTACGACGATCCCAACGTAGACCGAACCTAAAACCTTAAGGTCTCGAGACAAACATGATATCAGTGAGCCACCATGTTTCACACATTTCCAACTTCATCCAGCTGGCGTCATTGATATATTTGTCTCACTGTATATTTTAAATTCCACCATTGATAGTTCCTCATGAGAACTTCAGAAATTCTCCTGTAATTAGTTGTTAATGTTTAATATTAGTTTGAAAGATTTGTTGCCTCATGGATTTCTAATGAATCTTCTTGCCTAAGATAAATTCAGGGTGATGAATACTTATTTTAAACACTTAAACATCACGTTTCGCCAGACCGAAATTTCTCTTACGTTTAATATTTGAAATGCTGTGCCATTGGTATTTTACAATGGGACTATATACTATCATGACTGGAAAGGCTTCAACTCATTACTCATGTTTCATAAGCCCTAGCATGAATCGACGAAGTTATTGACTACTGAAATGAGGAATGTTGGTAGGTACAGAATACTTGATTGGGTTACGTGCGATTATGGTAAACAATGTTTGGAGATGTTGGGTGACGTGACTCAAAATTGGTCACAATGGCAATTTTGAGTTCTTTCTTTCCCGAATCATATTGTTTATGTCTAATGTTTCCTACTGCCGCAAATTTTTTTTGCTACTTGTACTATTCTGGTATGTTTTGATAATTTCATCTGTGTTGATATTGTAGGAGATCTGGAACCGATAAACATGTTATTTATGACTGATTAATATATAATTACTATGTTTTATTCATTTGTTTCCATAAATAAAACAGAACCATTAACGTTAGTGAACAATATCAGTCTCTGCTCCATTCATTTATCGATTTGTTTGTTCTCTTTTTATATTTGGATTAATCTGTTCCAGTATTTCAGTCCGTATTCATCAGCTGATTTAAATTTGATGGCTAAAGCATTCGATACAAATGTAGCTAATCTAGAAAATGAATTAGCAGTACTTATCCAAGATGGAAGTATTAAAGCTCGTATTGATTCACATAAACAGGTAATCCTATTATTTTGTGTTGTATTGTTGTGATTTTAAAAGAAATCTAATGGATAGTGTTTATTAAATTGTGTAAAGTGATCAGTAGTGGTAGAGTGGCTGTTTCAGTAGTCTAATCGGTCCCCAAATGATTTAGGAAATAAATTTCCAACCCTTTGTGATTAATATTTTGTTAAAGAATAGGCCAAGTGGTATGGTTAGATATAACAACGACAACGTTTTCACCTATGCACAGGAAAGGAAGTTTTTTTTAAATCCAATATGATTCTTTTTAGTCAAGTAGTATTCATTATTTTTAAAATTCGATATATACTGTATTGTATTGTAAGCAAAGATGGATTGTGGCTAGCAGTGGAATCCAGGACGCGCGTTTCGTCCTGTTTGGGACTCGTTAGCTGGATGTACCTGCATCGATATCGAGGCATACGCACAGTATGCACATATGCCAATAAGAGACTGATCAATTTCAGTCCTAAAACATCAATGGGAAGATTCAAGTAAAGCAATATCAAGTGAATGTATTGTATTGTGTTTTAAATATTAATTCTGCTAGTTCTGTAATTCTGTATATTTAGAATGTTTTGTGAATAAAATATCCCGATTGAAAGCATCACTAACGCTATGTCAATAATAACTGTGAAAATAATTGTATTGTTAGTTGAATAAAAGTTAAATTTTGTATTATTAATCACTTATGGAAATACGTACATACATATACATAATTCTTTACTGATTCTTAGTGTCACTTTCCTTCTTATCCATAATTGATACATAGCTTCTTCGTGTTCTTGACGTGGATCAGCGATGTCTAACGTTTGCTCGAGCTGTACGACTTGTTGATGAGTATAAAAATCGTACACATTCACTGATACTTCGAATGGCATTAGCACGTCAGAAGCTTACTGTTAAGGTAATAATTCTTTTTTTAACTGGTATACCATGATTCTATCTGACTGTATAAAATGTAGTCGACGAGTAAATTTTTCTCTCATCACTTATTCAGGTATTTTCTGTGCTGTTTTGTTCCATTAAACTACGACCATGTTCTCGAGGGTTGTTTTTAGTGGAGTTATTTTAATATCCAACAACGATTTGTTTGACAGCTTAAATATTCACCTACCAACAATAACAGTTTTTTAAAACCGACATATGAACAATATAGAATCTATCCACCCCAATTTTAGTTAAAATTGGTAATCGAGAAAGTGTTTGGGCATGTATAATACGTTTTATAAACACTTCAGTCAACTAGAGTTCACAATCTGATAAACACATTTCGTACCTTTATATTAGTATTCTTGTCTAACATTTTCATTTCCTACTCGGGAGTCTCACCATATTCATGAATTGTTCCGAAAAAATACATGATCAAATACGTACAAGCCTCATAATTTCCTAAATATACAGTTCATACTCTTAACTTTACGGTTGTTCAATTGTTCAAGTTTAATTAAGCTGCTTAATTTCAATTAATATCGGTTCAGCATTTTCATTTGAAAGTTACTTGTTTTAATACGTATGTTAAACGATCTAAAAGCATGTCAAATTTGACAGAAACGAATGAATAACACGAAGTGGTGTCTCTTAACTGACTGTTTGTTCTGATATCACTCTCATTGCCTTTTTAAGCCATACAATTTAAAAGTCATCCATGTAAAATTATATTCGGAAGTTGATTCCACTTCTCTAGACACATGTATGCTGTGATGTTTATAATTATTTGACATAAACAATGTATCGTTTCATTTCGATCATTAAATACTACTAGTCTAAAATTGTCTATCAATAATTGTCAAATTATTATTCATCTTATTACTATAGGGCTTTTGTAGAAATTGTCAAGTTTCATAGTTTACGTTATGGATTGCTTTGGGTTATAAAACCAAAAGGCACTGAGCAGTTAATGTGCCCTAGTATGAAACTCCTCACGTGTACGCATTCACGGCTCGGGCACCAGTCCAGTAATCTAAAGAATAGTCGCTCGTCTCATGACGTTTAGATCTTGTGTTCGGTCTCCAGTAGAGTTGTGAATACGCACTGTTGAGGAGTCCTTTGCTAAGACGAGGCAGCTGTCCAGTACTTCGTGTGTTTTTTTAAACTAAGATCAGTCCCTAATTTGAATTACTATCCCCTTAATCATGTACTTGGTTGTGCAATTTTTGTCTTCCTTCAGGGTGTATATATTCTTTTTTTCATAATCTACGGTTTTACATCCAAGCTTTTAATTTTAAAAATGTGTTTTACTTTTTCTTTTCTAGTCGACCAGAGATGATATTGATCCAATGTATCATTACATGTCATAAAATAACCAGTCTTTGGATTAATGATAATAACTGCTTATAAAATAATCATAGTAGTATGGTATTATGAAGCTATTCAAATTTCTGTGATGGGTCAAAACTGTCTGAGAACTTTCAATTAATGGAAGAGAACACACACCAACCTGCTTTTACAACAGATTTACAATATCCTCCATATTTGAAAAAGACTGTAGAAATATTGTCCTGTTTTTCTCACATAGAACTGTTAATTTACGCCTAAACACAAATGCTTACTGCTTCTACCATAAGTCATCCTCTTTTACTTCAGTGACACGTGACTAATTCATTTGTACTTATTTTTCACGTTGAATATTTTTTAAAGCTATCAACTTATCCCCTCCCGTCACAATTCTGTTGGTCCCCAGTTTTCATGTTCACGAACTATCAAATGTACACAACTTCTGTACACCAAGTCGAAATACTATCCTTACTTGAAAGCTTATGATCGGTATAGTATTATTTGTCGATATTTGATTTTTAGGTTTTATTATTGTATAAAATGTTGGTGGAAATTCCGACTGCTTTATCACTTAGCTTTTGCAGTTTGCATATGTGAAATGATGTTTGTTTTTGTGTTAGCACTTCTCTGTTAGGTTCGTCATCTAGAAGTAAGAGGTGATATTTGATTGAAACCTTTAACTCGTGATCACCGGCATATTTTAGTAGCATGTAATTTGATCTGTTGTATATCTCTTTTTGAAGTTGAATATCAAGATAAACTAAGTGGAATTGAAACTACCTATGGTGTATCTTTTTAGATGTTGAATATATATATGCCTGGACAGTTTCCTGGGACCTATTTCATAATGGTATCTGAACTCACGTCAACGGGGAGAGTCTCAGTTCTATATTTATGGAAGAACTAATGTTATTGTTATCAGAACATGATATTGATACAATTAGGAGCAGTAACAGAAATTACAGGGTTAGTAAACACTAAAAGGCATCAGTAGTTTAGATTTGAACGGTTGGTGAAGAAAGATAAGTAGTAGTTAGACTTCAGCACGATAACGAGAAAACGAAAACGGATTTGCCCATCGTTTGTGGAGACTGTGTCTAGTAACATTATCTATGACGCCTGGTAGTAATTCGTTGTTTGTGTCGATTTAACTACGCTGCACATCCAATTCGATTAATTTCTGAAACCCAATAACAGTGTTTGGATTCATATTTTCGCTTATTATGCTAGAACAAAACGTATAACCCAGTTGACCGAACTGAAGTAAATAAATCAGGCTAAAGATAACTGAAGTTGGATATCTAAAGCACTTATTAACACCACGTTGAAAGGCTTACGATAGCGGACATATCACTGAACTAACTATTATCATAACACTTGGTTATTAGTTTATTTGGTTTCGTGCTATTTCCTGCTGTCCACTGTCCAACCAAGGTCTGGATAAAGTAATGTTGTAACACATTTTCAATGGGATCCGTTTGACTAAACTAGTATCTAGTCTTAGTTTTCGTAGTCATTCGACTAATGGCCAGTGAACCAGTAGATGCATCGACCAAACCATCTACTTTTCGCCAGAACGCAAGCATAATATACTGTTTTTTTACTTACTGTAAAGGTTGTATGTAAATTTTCTTTGAGACTTACGGGGTTATTTGACTTTGAAGAGATTCCTAAACAAATATGCTACGTATTCATATCACCATTTAAAGTCATAATGAGCGGTTTGCGCAAATGATGTACGTCTACTGGCCGTCTTCCCAAATGAGACTGGCAGAACATCTAACTGTTTATTAAACCGTGAGCACACAATGTAGCAGTCGAGTTCGTCATTTTACGATTGTGGCTATCAAGAATGGGAAATCTGCCTTGTGTTTCTAAAATACCGCTTGTTTACAATGAAACTACCGGGTCAGTAGTGTTGTATTTGGGTGAAAGCTGTAAACAAAATAAGTCTATGTAGTTCAGAACCTGAAAGGAATAACGTGGTTGAAAAGTGTATTTTACTCAACAAGTCACTTCCCAACCCGATATCCGAAGTTGTCTGTTATAATAAACTGGCAAACGATTATGAGTAGATAGGAGTAAATGCAGACCAGTGAAAACATTGGTTGTTACACTGGACAACATAGACTTTAGTGAGATTCATCGGGTTAAAAGTTACCACTTAAAAGGCTCTGAGGGATAATTCTTAAAATTGATCACTGGTAAAATTTACATATTTATCTACTGATAGATCTTAACTATTGTATTGTCGTACATCCATTTTCCCCGTCTACTAATACCATCGTTTATTTTGATTGTTCTCTGTCTTTGTTGCTTTTGCGATTGTGTAATGCGAAAACTTGGGATGTTGTATTTTACATACGATTCTATGTTGTGTCGATATCGTATAAATGCCTTTTTCAAGGTTATATGGGAAAAATGCAACCTATTTAGTCAATTATGGTTGATCTGCAGGTACATGATTACTGTTAATCTTGACTGATGGTCATTTTTTCAGATATTGTGAAAGGTTAACGAGTGTAAACTGTTATTTTTAGTCAGTTCCCGAATGATATTATGTCCAAGTGCGATGTAGAACTCTCGAATTTAACAACATTCGTTTTAGTGGATGTGTTATGACCCTAAACTCGGCTAGTTGTCACGTGATTTATTCGCCAATCAAAATACGACTTAATCAATCTTAGCACTGTGTCTTTATTGGTCCTTGTCCTCCTAACCCTGTCGGTTGAGTCCAGGACACCAATACCTGCTCTCACTATACGAATCATTTATTTCAAACATACCTGATTTATATACAAGCCAAACGGATCACATCATACCATAAAAAAGAAAATCACATTTGTACATAATCAAGCCCAAAAGTGACTGTGACTTTGGCAGACGGTAATTAATAATGTGAATATAACTTGAGAACAGTAAATCGCATAATAATAATCTATAGATCAAAATGAAGCTTATAATAAGAGGAAGATAGATATACATAATCCAGTTACTGAATAGTTATACAACAAGAATATATATATAATATCAGTCCATTAACAGGTCTCAGGAATTATTTGTAGATTAGTCTTCACTAGGATATAACAGTATATACTGTCGAGATGGGTCACAAACTACACTAAAACAACTTGTCGGTGCTCTTGTGTTTCCAACAATATTCCAGCTGATACGAATCATAATGATATCTGTCACTTTTATGCACAGTCGTGCTAAAATGTATGTGGTACCAAGAGATTCAACTAAAATGGGTAACGTTACGCTATTGTCAAAAAATTTTAACTTGTGGGTTATATCTGACATTTAAATGGAGGTCAAGACAACTGTAGATTGATTGATACTGGTTTGTTCTTACCAAAGTTACTCAGTTTCAAATACGGTCTACTATTTCAGATTATATTTAAATAAATACAAGCGACTCAGGAAATATAAATGTTTTTAAGCTAAGTGAAGAGAATTCTCTTTTCGATATCATCATTTACCTTATCTGCAAAGTCGTAATTGTGATTATTCTTTACATGCGATTGTATGTAATGAAATAGAGACGTACTCGATCAGTCCCTCTTTTGCAGAATCAGTATTATTGACTACTCATTCTTTATTCTCGTTAAGTGGACGATAGTCTTTTACATCTTTCCTGCAAATTATTATCTATTATGTTTAAGTTTTACGCAACTTATAACCTGGCTTACGTGTGCATCGATTCAAGTTTCCACACATCATTAGGACAGTGAGATCAAATTGTCAAATCAAATCCCATAATTGTAGAGGTGGTAATAGTAATAGAATAGGCTAAGCATCAGAAATACTATTCAGAAAAAAAGTGATATAGAAACTTGGAAGCTTGGGGAAACTGTGGAGTACATGAATCTGTGCCAATGCGAACTACTTTGAGACATGTCACTCAAAATCTCTAACAATTTGCTATGACTGCCTCACGAGCCTTCTTGACTTAAAATCTACAACTTTCCAGCCGTCGATAACTTTGGTAAGCGGTGCAACACTCATTTTATTATTAAGTTCTATATCCGATAATTTGAAAATGTCCAGTTTATTTTAATGAATTTGTTAAATTATGCTATTATCCCTCTGTTTTATTGTAAGTTATCGTATGTAAAATTTGTTATAAACTATTGTACACATTAAGTAAATAACATCATTAAAAGGAATTCTTTTTTCACTGAACCATTTCTATTTCTTGTTATAACACTAATGGGTTTCTTTTCTTGTTTTAGACGTTGTGTTTAGTTACAAACTTAGATATATTTTAAAAAGATATATTACAAATCTAAGTATATACATATTGGTAAAAATGATTGAAGTATTTTAGATGTTTTAGTTCATAAGAGGTTTTCTGTTAATTGGAAAATATCGTATGTTAAAAAAGTGATTGGAATCCAGTGACATTTATGATAGTTAATATATTTATTTGCTTTTATCTTTTTGGACTCGGGAACTTCAACATAACAGTAAAATATGACGAAAAGCTTGTCAAAATATAGATTACTATTAAGATATACATTTTAAATAGTGTACACGTATTCTTATTCTTTTTTGAAATATTTACATCCTGTAATTATTATCAACAGCATTTCCAGACAATTATGCCTAAATTTCCACCACATAGCATGTATAAAATGTTTTTAATATCATAGGTAATTTCAAAACCAAAACCTTCACCAACAGCTACATGCCATGCTGCTCCGTACTTTTTATCCATAGTTTCTTTTACGAAACGAGCTGCTGCCTTAATAATTAAGTGGATGAAGGTAGGAATTAAAATTGTATAAACATTGAAAAGAAAAGTAGCAGATAAATTAAAAATATTTAAATTTTTGAGGTTAGCTCACTCAATTTTTTAATGGCTATAAATCAAATTTATTTTAGAACTCTTCTACCCTCTCAGTTCAGCATAACATATTTGTTTAGTAATACTATGGCAAAATGGAGAATTTTACTTATACTTCGATCTAAAACTTTTGGTCTGGCAGGAACAAAACGATGTTGGGGATCGAAGAACTTAAAAGATAGACCACAGTAACAGGTTTATCTGTGGTAAAATCTATGTTCTTCGTTCAGTAAAGCTCACTCTTGTGAGCCATTTCGTTTACTAGAAAATATAAATTTTATTACCGGTTAGACTTAGGGTTCTAATAGGCTAGAAAAACATCTCATATTATATATAAGAATAGTAGCACTTCACTAGTTATACAAGTAAGTTGTAACTCAAGTTATCTGTTATCTGATGTGGTATACTATAACATGTTACGTATTTATTGGTGGATATCATTATAAGGTAAAAAGGGATAAGTGTCATTGCACGTCGATTTCATCCAAAACAGATAGCGGTATATACTATGCGAGTCAAGTCAAGAAAACCACTGTATTGCAACCGAAGATTTAAGAACGTTTCTCGGATTTTGTTAAGCTACGAATATTAGATAGGGGTAGACGCACCTTCATCCTATTGTTTAACCTTGATCGCTGAGGGTTGAATAATTATATTATACGCGTTAATGAAATAATTAAAATTTATATATATAATAAAAGCATCAA